GCAAACACCCATGCAAATACACCAATAAGAGTCTAGCAGTGGTAGTGCACACTTTCAATTCCAGCACTCAGGAGGCAGTGGCAGGCAGATCTCTGTGAGTTCAAGGCCAGCCTGGTCTACACAGCGAGTTCCAGGACAGCCAGGACTGTTACACAGAGAAACTTTATCTCAAAAAATCAAAATCAAAACCAAAAGAAAAGAAAACAAACAAACAACAACAACAACAAAAAACCAGAGTGAGCTCAAATAAATAATGTTTTTTTCAAGCCCTAAGGTACATCATTAGAGGAACAAGTGAAACCCAAAAGTAGTGGACAGAAATAATCACAGGGCACATATTAATGAAATAGATATAAATAAATGCAAGGAATCAATAAAATAAAACTTTGAGTTCTTAAAAACATAAATAGTATTGACAAACCCTTAGCCAAACTAGTCACAAGAAAGAATGAGAAGGCCCTAATTAACAATATTCAAAATTGGGCAGTCATGGTGGCATATGCCATTAATACTTGCACTCTGGGAGCAGAAGTGAATGAACCTGCAGGTTCAAGGCCAACCTGGTCTATGTGGTGAGTTTCAGCAAGGCTGCACTGTAAGACCTGGTATCTTAGGGTTTTATTGCTATGAACAGACACCATGACCACTACAACTCTTATAAAGGAAAACATTTAATTGGGGCTGGCTGACAGTTTCAAAGGTTTCATTTGTTATCATCACAGCGGGAAGCATGAAAGCATACAAGCAGACAAGGTGCTGGAGAAGGGCCTGAAAGTCCTACATCTTGATCCACAGGCAGTAGAAGAAGGAGAACTGGGTACTGGGCATACCTTGAGCATATATGAGACCTTAGAGCCAGTCCCCACAGTGACAGACAAGGACACGCCTCCTAATAGTGCTATTCTCTATGGGCCAAGGATTCAAACACAAGAGCCTATGGGGACCATACATATTCAATCTCATAAAAATAACAGAAATGAGGGGGCTGGAGAGATGGCTCAGAGGTTAAGAGCATTGCCTGCTCTTCCAAAGGTCCTGAGTTCAATTCCCAGCAACCACATGGTGGCTCACAACCATCTGTAATGGGGTCTGGTGCCCTCTTCTGGCCTTCAGGCATACACACAGACAGAATATTGTATACATAATAAATAAATAAATATTTAAAAAAAATAACAGAAATGAGAAGAGAAACATCACAGCAAATATGAAATTCAGAAAATGACAAGCAAATTTTTTCTTTTCTCTTTTTTTTCAAGATAGAGTTTCTATGTGTAACCATCCTGGCTGTCCTGGAACGTACTTTGTAGAACTTTGTAGACCAAGGCTGACCTCGAACTCACAGAGCCCCGCCTGTCTCTGCCTCCCTAGTGCTGGGATTAAAGGCGTGCGCCACCAGTGCCCAGCTGTGCTCTTTGCTGCCAGTATAAACACCTGACCAAAAGCAGCTTTGGAGGAAAGGGACTTACACTTTGACATCACCCATCACTGAGGTAAGTCAGGACAGAATCTCAAGCAGGAACTGAGCAGAGGCGGTGGATGAACACTGTTTACTGGCTTGCTCCCTACCTTGCTCAACTACCTGCCTTCCTTTATGCCCAGAGTCACCTGCTGTGGGGGTCCCAGCAAGCACATGGGAAGCAAAACCATGAAGAGACAAGAATGAAACTTAGTTCAGAATGGTTTAGTTAGCCAGGCTGTTCCAAAATTCTGGGGGCTGACCCTGAGTTGTTGTTGTTGTTGTTGGTTTGTTTGATTGATTTTGTTTGTTTTTCAAGACAGGGTTTTGTGTAGCCTTGGCTGTCCTGCAACTCATTCGATAGACCAGGCTGGTTTCAGACTCAGAGATCCTCCCATTTCTGTCTTGAACGCTGGGATTAAAGTTTGTGGCACAACTGCCAGGCTCAATTTTTCTTTCATATTTATTTAAACACAGTAAAACTTTGGAAAAAAGTTTTCTCATGACAGCTATCACAACAAAGCTTAAAGCATGACTGCATAGACATTCCCTTGGTGGGGTGGGGGGCACTGGAGAGATGCTCAGAGTCTGCAGGCCAGCAGAGGGCGCCAGACCTCATTACACATGGCTGGGAGCCACCATGTGGCTGCTGGGAATTGAACTCAGGACCTCTAGAAGAGTATTCAGTGCTCTTAACCACTGAGCCATCTCTCCAGCCCAACAGCTGATGTTTTTACAGATGCCAAAAATACATAGTAAGAAAAAGCCTTTGGAACAAATGGAAAAGAATAAAATGGTCGCTCTAGTTCAGCAAAAGGTGATGAGGACGTGGCAGAACAGACCTCTGACCCAGTGCTATGGGGATGTAAATGTCAAAGTCAGTGCACAGTTCCTCAAATAAACAAAACAAAAACAAAAACAAAAAACAAAAAAATATTAGCAACAGGCTAGGCACATGAGTTTAATCCCAGCACTAGGTCAGCAAAGACAGGAGGATCTCATGAGTAGGAGACCAGCCTGGTCTACACAGTGAGTTCCAGGACAGCCAGAGCTACATTGTGAGATCCTTCCTCAAAAACAAACAAACAAAAAACCCTAACTTCAGGGCCTCTGAGAGGGCTCGATAGAGAGAGGTGGAAGGAGAGAACCAGTCACATACAGTTGTCCTCACATGCTCTGCTTGACACACATGTCCCCATGCGTTCACACCACACACACACACACACACACACACACACACACACACACACACACACGGTTTGCTTTTGACAGCCCTGATGTCCCCAGAAGAATGCAGGATGTTGCCACTTCTGCTTGTTACCCACCAGAACTAGATGGTAAACCTTATCGTTGAAGATACTACACAATTCAGTTGCAAGACATGGAGAAATCAAGTCGGGATTAAGCAGCAAGCTTCCTCAAAATTCCTCGGGCTGGCTAATTCTCACAGTCCTGTTAGGTGTCATGCAGACTCTGTCATCTACAGGCTTACTCAGCTGTGGCCCTGCATGCTACAGTACAATACTGTACTGTATCTACAATTTACATCTGGTATTGTAAACCTGGTCGAAAGCCTGTTACAGCAGAACTCATAGGCCCTAAAGGGTAATCTACTGCTCCTGTTTTGCTAAGTGGCCTTGGCATGTCAGTGTCAAATCACATTCTAAATATATTTATGCCCAAATGTTAGTACTGATGTCAGTTTTAGTCAGAGAAGCTCGGTTATTTTGCAGTGATCATCAGTTACTGCAGATAATCCCAACTGGTCAAAGCACAGAGAGTGATCAGACAGTGGTGGCCCACGCCTTTAATGTCAGCACTTGGGAGGCAGAGACAGGAAGATCTCTGTGAGTTCGAGGCCAGCCTGGTCTACAAAAGCAAGTTCTAGGACAGTCAGAACCGCTACACAGAGAAACCCTGTCTTGAAAAATAAAAACAAAACAAAAAATGCTGAGCCCTACATTAGACATCTGACAGCTGTATTACCCTTCCAAGGTCCAGGGAGCATCAAGAGAGAAGGACAGAGAGGATACCAGAGCCTGGACTGCGATGTAGACTGCGTCCATAAGGCTTTGGTTTGGTCCTCAGCCCCACATAAACCAGGCAGAGTTGTGTGTAAATATAACCCTATCACCTGGGAGGTAGAAATGTGAGTGTCAGGAGTTCAGGGGCACTCTCAGAATCCCTTAGCTTAGTAAGTTAAAGGCTAGCCTGGGCTATTTTATACCCATTCTCAAAAAAGCAAAACTAACTGACAAATAATAGTAATGTCAGAGCCCAAAGAAGAGGTGGGTGTTTTGTTCTCTTCTGAGTACACCACTGTAGCCTTTAAACTCTCAGCAGCTCTGGTCACCTGCATAAGATGCACACAAGACAGGGCTCACCAATATCCATCATAGAAGGGGTGGAGCTCATAAGGTGCCACTGCCACACACGATTTATAGACAGTTAATGGCTGCAGAGAGATCTTCTTCAGAAGTGTACTACTGTCATAGAGTTCTTAAGAATGACCCTTCATCCATGCCCTAATTTAGTGTTTCACAGAAATCAAGAAAGAAAAAAAGGAAAAATTAATATAAACAACATTAATATAAAATAAATGTTGGCAAGGATTAGAGAAATTATAATCCTAGTACATCTCTTTGGGGGAAGGTTGACAAGATGTCTTAATGACCACAGGGGAACAGATTCAGGCTGGTCTGGCTTTTCCTCAGGTTCTACTCTCCACAGGGACTCTAAAAATCTTTTTCTGAGTCCTAAACTTTACACTTGAACTCCCGATTAGTTGAGTACCAGATCACCCCAGGCCAAGCTCCCTGTAATGTGGCATAGTTCCTGGGAAGCTTGAAACTTCCTTAAACCATCTCAACCAAGGTGCCAAAGGCCACGGAGGACACAAGGTCCTCCTGAAGCAACTTTTCTCTCCGATTCTCCCAAGACACGATAAATATTAATGGGGCTAGGGATGGCTTTTGCATAAGGTTGTGTGTTCACTGCCTGTCTCTTTGGGATATGTTGATTTAGGAAATACTAGCATGCTGTTTAGTTATTCATTCATTCATTCATTCATTCATTTGATTATTTATGTTTTGCTTTGGTTTTCGAGACAGGGATTCTCTGTGTAGCTTTGGGGTCTGTCCTAGAACTGCGAGACAAACGCAGATTCACCTGCCTCTGCCCCCTGAATGCTAGAATTAAAGGCGTGTGCCACCACTACCCAAATTTGTGTTGTTGTTCTAATAGATGTGTTAGAAATGGCCCTGGTGGAGTAGACACAAGTTCTTCGGTTTGACTCCAGCACCACATAAGTGAGGTGTGATGGTGTCTGTCTGTGATGCAAGAACTTAGAGGGAGAGAATCGAGGATAAGAAGTTCAAAGTCCGTCATCAAAAGTCTCCCAACGACAAAAGCCCAGGACCAGATGGTTTCAGCTCAGAATTCTACAAGACTTTCAAAGAACTAATACCAATACTCCTCAAATTATCCCTGGGCATCAGTGGGCCACAGCTGACAGGCTTCGATTTTTGCAGAGGTGGGACTGGGAATGGATGGTGCCCAGAATCTCCAGCTTTTTCCCTGTGCCTTTGGGCAGGTGCACACACTGACAGAAGAGAAGGAACACAGAGAAAGTCAGGTACAAGAGCTGGAGACCAGCTTGGCGGAACTCAGGAGTCAGTCAGGTGAGTAGGACAAGGGCCAAGGGCGACCTGAGAGCAGAAGTGGGTCCAAGGCCATAAAGGTGGCTTCCATTGCCCTGGGGAGGCGGGTTGTACAAGGGCATTGGAGTAGAGGACAAGGGGGTTCTGCCAGGAGATGGCAAGTTTTGTTATCCCTCTGAGCATGTGTCCTTCTGTGCAAAGCAGGGTGGCATGCCTACTACTACCCCTGCAGGTGGCTGAGCATCACGGAACTGTACTAGAGTGGCTTGAAACGTTTACCTTGTCTCAGACCCTGACAGAAAAGAAGCCAGGGCTTGGAGCAGGAGCCTAACTCCAGCTCACAATGGAGCCTGTCTGAGAAGTCAAGAGTGGAGCCCCTCACTGTGCCTGCTTCCTTTCTCAGAGGAGCCACCACCCCCACAGCCTCCAGCTGGGCCCTCCGAGGTGGAAGAGCGACTGCAGGGAGAGGTTGAGCAGCTGCAGAAGGAACTGGAGAAGCTGACGGGACAACTGAGGGCCCAGGTACAAGGCAATGAGAGCCTGAGCCTCCTGAACCGGGAGCAGGAGGAGCGGCTGCTGGAGCTGGAGCGGGCTGCAGAGCGCTGGAGTGAGCAGGCGGAGGAGCGCAAGCAGATCCTGGAGAGCATGCAGAGTGACCGCACCACCATCAGCAGAGCGCTGTCACAGAACCGCGAGCTAAAGGAGCAGTTGGCTGAGCTGCAGAACGGCTTTGTCAGGCTGGTGCGGAGCTTGCAGGCCCTCCCTACTCGGGGAACACACTCACCCCTTCTGGTGATGGGCTGGGGATGGGGTGCTGTCCACCTCCCGTGAGGCGTGTGGGAATGATCCAGGAGCCTTCCCTGCTCTGTGGGAGGAGGTGCTCATACAGGTCTGGGCACCCTAGCCACATTGGCTCCTTATGACGGCTGCTTTCTGTCCAGACCAATGAGAACATGGAGATTACCAGTGCACTGCAGTCAGAGCAGCACGTCAAGAAAGAGCTGGCCAAGAAGTCGGGGGAGCTCCAGGACAGAGCTAAAGGAGACAGTAAACCCATGAAAGTGGAGGCAGAAAGATCGGGAGTTCAACATCACCCTCTGCTACAGAGTGGGGCTCACCCTGGGCTAAATGAAACCCTGTCTTAAAAATCACACAAAAGAGGCTGGGGAGATGACAACAACAAAAGGGCTTGTTGCACAGATCTGGTGCCCTGAGTTCAGACCCCTGAAATCTGTGTAAGTGGAAAGAGAACCAACTCCACGAAGTGTCCTTTTCTGGAAGAATGTTAAGAACTGTAAGTACCCTTAACCCATGAGTCATCTCTCCAGCTTCCATTGATTTTGCAACCAACATATTCAGCTACCTCCATTTTAAAGTGGGTCTGGATGCTGTTGCCCACACCTTCACAAGTCAGAGAGAGAGGCAAATCCAGTGGCAACCAGTGTCCAGGAAGGCATTCCTACTCTGGCTGCTCCAACCATAGCAGAGATGGGGCCTGGCCTGGCATCAGCAGTTCTGTCCACCGGATGGTCGGTCTGGAGGGTTGCGAGTCTTCCTAGAGCACAGAGCACAAAGGGGCCATCTGGCCTCAGGCAGTGCCCAGACGCTGTCCGCCCCCAGTTTTGCACCAGCCTGAACTCTGCCTATGTCTGGGGACAGGCTGCTGACCCTTGGCTTTCCTGCAGAGACCCTAAGAAACAGAAACAGACTGGGCTTTCAGAACGCATGCCTGCTGGCAGGATGACTATCACCAAGATTATCTGCCATGAATGCAGGGTGGCACTTCACGTGCCAAAGGTTGGCTGGCTCTGCCCCAGCCCTAGCTGTTTGGCTCTGGGGCCCTCATTCCAACCAGGGTAGGACAGAACCCTTATTCTCTTCCCAAATGAGAGGTCTCCACATCCCTGCCCTACCCCCAACCTCAGTCATCTCTCACTCCCACTCAGGGGCTGGCGTTTCCTCTGCTTATGTCTTGGCACCAGACCAGATTAGACAAAGGTGATCTCAAGTCAAGTTTCCCAGGCTCTTCAAAGGTAGGAATTTTGTTGGTAGGGAAAGTTGCTGTTCCCAGGATGTCCACCCAGCCTGTTCTGGATTTTCTGTACGAGGTCCTGCAGGTGCTAACAGCTGCTCCTCGGGGACCAGCTGAGCTTTTGGAGACTCTGCCCTCCACTTGCATCTGCTTCTGCCACCTATCACCTGCAGCACACTGCTGTTCTCTTGGTCTTTGAATTACTCTTCCCACCTGTAAAGTGGGGTGGTGGCCCTGATCTCCCAGGAATGTTATGGGATTGAAATGGGTTCTCAGATGTGAAAAGACTCCATACAGGCCCATGGAAGGCACTTAGAAAGATGAGGCAGGGCTGGAGAGATGGCTCAGAGGTTAAGAGCACAGGCTGCCCTTCCAGAGGTACTGAGTTCAATTCCCAGCACCCACACGGTGGCTCACAGTCATCTGTAATTAGATCTGGTGCCCTCTTCTGGCTAGTAAGTATACATGGGGACAGAGCAATATATACATAATATAAATCTAGAAAGAGAAAAAAAAATGGGACAGAGAACCCTAACTGAAATGCTGACCTAGTGTGTTGCCCTCCATCTGTCACTCAAAGACCTTGGGTTAGAGCAGGGCCACAGTGAATAGTAGGCAAGCATGGGCATAACTAGATACTGATGGCATTCTCACTGTCTTAGGTTTCTACACCTGTGATAAAGACTATGACTACGTCGGGCAGGGTTCTGTAGAGGAACAGAACATACAGAATGAACATATAAAGGGTATTTATAGAGGATTCATTCATAGAATGAGGGGATTTATTAGAATGGCTTACAGGCTGTGCTCCAGCTAGTCCAATAATGGAAGGTTCAAAATGCCAGTAGTTGTTCAGTCCATGAGGCTGGATGTCTCAGCTGGTCTTTAGTCTACACTGGAATCCCAAAGAAGTAGGCTCTAATGCCAGTGGAAATAGACTTGCCAGGGAAAGAGAAAGAAAGCATGCAGAGACAGTATCTTTCGTTCTTTATGTGGGCAGCAAGAAGAAGGCATGACCAGATTAAAGGTGGAGCTTCCCACCTCAAAAGATCTGGATTAAACCACCCCAAAGATCCAGGTTAGAAGTAGGTCTACCCACTTCAAATAATATAATTTTAAAAAAATCTCTTACAGGTGTACCTACCCATTTAGGTTTTCATTAATTTCAGATGTAGTCAAGTTGACAATCAAGAATAGGAATCACAGCTGGTTGATGGTGGCTCACACCTTAATGCCAGCACTTGGGAGGCAGAGGCAGAGGCAGAGGCAGAGGCAGAGGCAGAGGCAGAGGCAGAGGCAGAGGCAGAGGCAG